TCATTTTTAAGCTACAATTTAAAGACCTTAGCTGATAAAGGGCTCAGACTTTTATATTCATTGTTAAAATTTTAACGTGACTACAAAGTACCACTTAATACTATGTTTAATCTATTTGACGCATAGGTTTTATAGATGTGACGTAATGGAGTTTATGAATGCAGAAGTTTTGGAACGAGTGCATAAAAAAATCAGATTTATTTTAATGTTAACAGTCTACAGATATTTTGACATTATATGCAGAATTGTGGAAACTGAAAAACATATTTGTATGATCAAATATTTTCTAAAATTAAACACAGGTAAAAATAATAATAATAATTGTATATTGGGAACAATATTGTGCTGTTAATGCGGTAAATTGTTCAAGAAACTAGGCTTTGAAAGTAAGAAACATTGTTCAGTCAGCAGGATTGTATGAAGTCTTGTTATATCCCGATTCTGTAAAAGTGAAGCAAATACAATATACTCCAAGGTACAATTAATGCAACACGAGTATCTTTAATTTCATTTCATTATGGCAAACTGATCGTAAGAAAGAAATTAAACATTTACCTGTATTCTGTGATTGAACTTTTAAATTGAGGGGCAGTCTGACGTGAAAGTTTTCCTATTTTTTCCATTTTTTTTATTATTTTGTGGTAAAAAATTTATCATTGTCATTGTTGAATACCCATTGTACATTCAATAAGTAGATTTGTTAAGTTATATGAGCTGCGTCACGACAAAACCAACATAATGGGTTTGCGACCAGCATGGATCCAAACCAGCCTGCGCATCCGCGCAAACCCTGTAACAAGTAGAGAAACTGATAGCGAACAGCATGGAGCCTGATCAGACTGCGCGGTGTGGATCCATACTGGTCGCAAACCCATTATGTTGGTTTTGTCGTGACGTGACTCATATGTGAATATGATTTTGTAATAGTTTGTTATGGATTAACATTTGTATCTTCTCAAATAAAATCCATGTACACAGACGCGTGTCTGTCTGTTTTCCAACAGACAACAAAATATAAATACCAAGATTATACGTTTTGACAAAACTGATCTCATAAATAACTCGAGATTTGTTTAAATTTAGTTGGTTTAGAATAAAAATGTATAAATTCACTAACTAAGCCTTCTAAAATATTTCGTTTATCATGCAGGAATGAATTTAATCATCGTTAATATTATTTTTAACCATAAATTATTAAAGGGAAGTAAATGCTAAAATATGTATTCTGTAAAGTTACACGAGTTACCCCCTTCATTTGTCGCACTCGCTTATTTTCATTATTTGGATTAATATATTGATATGCTTTATCTAAATTCCATCTATAAAACAAAATGTATCGTAGCTAGATTTGATAATAATAGTTAAGGTGGACAAATTCTTGAGCGTTATTTATACACTTTAAGTAATTTCCTGTCTCAGTTAACATTCTCACATTTTATAAACCATTATGTTTCTGTTATATTTGTTCATGCAATATGTCATTTATGTGCCATATGTCATTTATGTGCCAATTTGTATATGTTATATGTGATGAGCTTGTTATGCTTAAACTAAATAAGAACATTTCTGTTCTGTACTGATCTATATTACACGAGCCCAATCGTGCAGTATGTACGCCCGAATGTAAAATTTTGTAGAAAGAAAAAATCAACAGCAGATTGTCAATCTTATTACTGAAAATCGCAAACAACAACAACAACAACAAAAGAATAAGAGGGTCATGATGACCATTGGTCTCTCATCAGAATAGGTGCAAATTATTCAAAGCAAAATAAATAATTTGGTCTAGATGGGTGTATCGTTATTTTATTTCAGGAGAAAAACGCATGGTTTTTAAGGGATAAAAAAGATAAGTTGTTACAAAATAAATTATCAAAACAGCGTAAGTTAATTATGTAAAATTATAATTTTTAGGTGGTTGGATTGACAAATATGTACAATTAATTTGGATTCATACTACATGCATCCAGATGAGCCAAATTAAACTATTTCAATACAATCAAAATCAAACTTGAGCGAAATGTACTAAGATGTAAGGAAAAGTAAAAAGTTTTATGATTCAAGTAATATTTTACATATTATGTATGATTAATAACTGATTTTTCAGTATTTACAACTATATTTTTTACTGCGTTACTAACGCATTAAATGTTATTTATGCATATTTTGAAAAAAAGCATGAATCTGGAGGCGATTGAAGCTTGCCACCTCAAGAATCTGTGATAAAGATATGATCCATGCTAAACAGTTCTGAATACTTCATTACATTTGCCAAAAGTTCCTTAATTTCTTGACTACTCGGCCACTTATAAAGAGAAAAATGAAGGATAACGTTTTTAAATTTAGGTTTGCTCAGCCTAAAAGCGAGTGACGATCTCACAAAGCAAAAATTTTACGGTCTTGCACGGTGCGGTATTAAAATAGTGACTATAATAACACCTGAAAAATAAATAAAATGTCGGCAGTGGTAGACAGTGAAACGTTTAAAAAACGCAAATTAATTTTGTGTGAGTGGTATTTTTAATTTTGAATGCATTGAAAATTTTTGATTCATAAGTAAAATGCAATTGTCATGTGTTTTCGCGTCACGTTTTATTTTAAAGGTCCTATACTCCTATTGATTTTGCTATTTACATTTTTAAAACTGCCCAAAGTTACCTTGCTTTTGCATAATATTATAATTTTTATATAGTATCTAATCATTTCGAAGTAAATTTAAGTTACACATACTTAAGGTTCATTTTATTTAATATGAAAAAGGCAAAGCCTCAAAGCGATCCAGATTTCTTTTTCCCGTAAAATAGTTAAATTTCATTCAATTTTATTTTACATTTTCCGTATTAAAATTGTCATTCGGTATTTTATATACTGCTTCCATTTATCCTGGTTCCTCCTTTCTATTATGGTTCCCATGTAAGTGCGCAGGACACCAGTTAACGCTTCTGTTTTCATTCAGAGTACATCGGCTTTTATCCTTATCTTGCAATTCGAAAAGTTGCGATGTGCCAATTCTGTACTTCGAACGAAAGTTTTCAAAACCATCACCTAACAGGTACTCGCGTTACCGTAAAGCTCACTTTGCGAGCAGGCCCTTTGGGCCAGCTCGTCGAGCTCGCTAATATATAATATACAAGTTTTACTTTATAATACATAGTGGTCTAATTCAACAGTTCAATGACTTGCAGTAACTGTACAGATATTTAGGCAGAAAACAATAGTTTTAGAGTCACAACATAATTATAATATGAAAAAGGCAAAGCCTCAAAGCGAGCTCGATTTTCTTTTACCGTAAAGTAGTTTGAAATAATCGTTAATTTTTATTTTGCATTTTCCATTTTAAAATTGTCATTCAGTATTTTATACACTGCTTCCGTTTATTGTGGTTCCTCCTTTCTATTATGGTTCCCATATAAGTGCGCAGGACACCAGTCTACGCTTCCGTTTTCAATCAGACTATAAGAGTACATCAGCTTTTATTGTTATCTTGTAATTCGAAAAGTTGCGATGTGTCAATTCGGTACTTCGGAAGAAAGTTTTCAAAACGATCACCTAGCAGGTACTCGTGTTACCAAAAAGCTTGCTTTGCGAGCAGGCCCTTCGGGCCAGCTCGCTTCGCTAGCTCGCTATAAAACACAGGTGACCCTTCAAATTTCCAAAAAGCCTGATTTGACTCACAGGATTTTAACTGGAGGGTCAAATTTTGTTAAAATCATGAGGATAGAGCCTTGAAGTCAGTAAAACTTAGTCAAAATGGATTTCATGGCTAGTGAACACCCTGAAACATTAGATAATCTATCAAAGAAGTTGTACACATGTATAATATGTATAACAAAATAAGCACATATTTTGAAAAATATTTCTAAAGAGTATGTACTCTTTAACTGGTGAATATGATGTGAATTGTGATATGTACTGAAATTTTTTTTTCTCAGTACATATAACATCATATTCACCAGCTAAAAAGTACATATCTGTTTTATTATATAATCTATAAATCCTTTTTAATATGAGATATCAAATCTGCCATTGAATACGAAGGAAATCTACATTTTTCAGCTTGACTGCTTTTTCCATTATCTGGCTCCAACAATTTAATGAGTGCATAGGCATGCTACATTCGAAATATTCTAAAAAATGAAAAGATGTTAACTAAAATAGACTAATTTGACCTTTATTTGCGAGTTGCCCAAGGGTTACTCAGAAAAATAACAACGAACTTGGTGTGACCTCACGTCATAGCACACGTCTTTTGCGGGCTTTCCAGAAAATCTATTTTTAGAGAGAAAAAACAGTGAATATACTCAGAAATTGTGATATTCATGAGTTAATTTTTACGAAAAAAAATACATCTTAACCAATTGGAGAAAGTTATTTAAAAGCTATTTATAGATCATATGATTATAAACTTTATTGAATATTTTCATAAGTACATGTATAATAAGATATTTTATGCTATTTATATACTTTTTTAAATCTATAGGTAAATTCATGAATGGAAATGTCAAAGAAGACTCTGAGGAAAAACTGAAGTGTAGAGTTCTCCATCGATCTAGTCAATCTGATCTTAAAACAAAAGATCAGAAAATAATGGTATGTAAAAAACTTTAATGATTTTTAGCTCACCTGAGCTTGCTCAGGGTGAGCTTTTAGGATCGGTGAATGTCCGTCGTCCGTCATACGTCGTACGTCCACAATTGCTTGTGAACACTCTAGTGGTCGCATTTTTGCCTCAATCATCATCAAACTTGGTCAGGATGCTTATCTAGTTGAAAGCTCGGATGAGTTCGAACATGGGTCATCTCGGATGAAAAACTAGGTCACAGGAGCTAAAAATAGAAAAACCTTGTGAACACTCTAGAGGTCACATTTTTGACCCAATCATCATCAAACTTGGTCAGGATGTTTGTCTAGGTGATAGCTCGGATGAGTTCGAACATGGGTCATCTCGGATGAAAAAGTAGGTCACAGGAGCTATAAATAGAAAAACCTTGTGAACACTAGTGGTCACATTTTTGAACCAATCATCATCAAACTTGGTCAGAATGCTTGTAAAGTCAATTGCTTGGATGAGTTCGAACATAGGTCATCTCTGATAAAAAACTAGGTCACAGGAGCTAAAAATAGAAAAACCTTGTGAACACTCTAGTGGTCACATTTTTGACCCATCATCATCAAACTTTGTCAGGATGCTTGTTTAGATAATAGCTCGGATGAGTTCGAATATGGGTCATCTCGGATGAAAAACTAGGTCACCGGAGCTATAAATAGAAAAACCTTGTTAACACTCTAGCGGTCACATTTTTGCATCAATCATCATCAAACTTGGTCAGGATGCTTATCTAGTTGATAGCTTGAATGAGTTTGAACATGGGTCATCTCGGATGAAAAAGTAGGTCACAGGAGCTATAAATAGAAAAACCTTGTGAACACTCTAGTGGTCACATTTTTGAACCAATCATCATCAAACTTGGTCAGAATGCTTGTCCAGTCAATTGCTTGGATGAGTTCGAACATGGGTCATCTCGGATGAAAAACTAAGTCACAGGAGCTAAAAATAGAAAAACCTTGTTAACACTCTAGAGGTCACAATTTTGACTCAATTGTCATCAAACTTGGTCAGGAAACTTGTCTAGGTCATTGCTGGGAATAAATCGAACATGGGACATCTCGGATGAAAAACTAGGTCAAAGGAGCTAAAAATAGAAAAATCTTGTTAACACTCTAGTGGCTACTGTTGTGATCCAAATATTCTGTTAATTGGTCTGAAAGTTTGTTTTGATGATTTCTAAGTCAAGATCGAACATGGGTCATCTTGGATGAAAAACTAGGTCACACCGCCCAAATATGGAAAAACCTTGTTAACATTCTAGTGATCACATTTTCGACTCAATTATCATCAAACTTGGTCAGGATGCTTGTCTAGGTAATTGCTTGGATGAGTTCGAAATCGCATGTGAAACTAGGTCACCGGAGCTAAAAATAGAAAAATCTTGTTAACACTCTAGTTGCTACTGTTTTGATCCAAGTATCCTGGAAATTGGTCTGAAAGTTTGTTTTGATGATTTCTAGGTCAAGTTTGAATATGTGTCACCTGGGTAAAAAACTAGGTCGCACTGCTCAAATATGGATAATCCTTGTTAACACTGTAGTGGTCACATTTTTGACTCAACTGTCATGAGACTTGGTCAGAATGCTTGTCTAGGTAATTGTTTGGATGAGTTTGATAAGTCAGGTGAGCGATCTAGGGCCATCATGGCCCTCTTGTTTTTTAATTCCACCTGTCCACTCATATAAATTTATGAGTAGTATGCAGCAGGAAAGTGAAAAATGTAGTCTGCTTGTCTATTTTGACAAGCAAAAAGTGCACAAAGAAGACTCCTGAAACAAAATAAATATGTTGTATGTTTACAAAACAAGAAGGAAAGGCTGAAACCAGACTGAAAATAGTGAAAATTCTGGGTGTGTATCAAATGTACACGGAATAAACTGCTGACTGGTGCATTTGATTCACACTCCTTTTAGAAATTTAATACATACCCCAAAATTTCAGCTTGGTTTCCAGTTTTCTGCACTTATGCAAACATGTTGACTGTTGTATGAAACATGTTTATAAATTCCAGTTGTCTATAAGTCTCTGTATCAAACCCATATTCAATTATTGAATGAGTACATTATGTTTTGAAAAATAATGATGATTACAATTTCACTGTAAAATCTTGAAAATCTTAATCTTAATGAAAAGCAGGACAGGTAGTGCAACATGCAGGATAAGTAGGAATTAGGAGCATTTTTTCTTCCAATTTTAGATCCCTGAAAATTTTTGATTTAGGAGATAAGTTTATGGGTAGTAGATAGCATTAAAGGTGAACCCATAGTCCATTTATAGATAGGTAATTAATGTTCAATCATCAATACTTGCTATAATTACTGTACATAAAATTATTTTGAAAATTGTATGTTTTTATTTTTTGTAACACTCTGTGTTACATACAATACACTTATTTTATTATTAATACACAAGCTCAAATGTCTAAACTTATAACTTTCAAAAGCTCATGCATGCACTGGTCAGTAAATTTCAATGCTGCCTATTTACAGGCTATTTGAAGTGTTTGAGCAAATGAAATAAGTTTTTCATATCACTTTCAAAGTTTGGATCAATAAAGTCGGCTATTTTTATCACACAGATTTATTCAGCAAGAAAAAATATTTTTTTACACAATTGTTCAATGAAAATTTACAATTGTCAAATTGTAGTTATTGACAAAATTGTCAATGACTTGACTACATAAATTGACATAATAAAGTTTAATAAACAGACATAAACCATGAGAGTTAACAAATATTTTTTTTGTCTTCAAGATTGCTTAGTTTTAACTTTGCAAGAAAATATTTGTATCAAATACAAAGCTACATTTATCATATTTAGTATGTGTTATATGTGTTCTTAATGCATTTTGTTCTTTGTTTTTCTTTACCTTTTATTTACAAAACTAAAAAAGTTAATGTTAAAAAAATCAACAAAACTAGTGCTGTGTTTTGTTTGCTTTGGCCTTGAAGTATTGTACTTAACAGTCTCATTTTCATAGTACTGTATTTATATTAACAGGTTTCTGAGTCAGAAGATATGACATATATAGGAAAGAACTTTGGGAGATATCGTTGTAATCCTAATCGTACAATCAAGTAAGTATTAGCTTATTATTTTCAATATATCTTTGTTTCCTTCATTATCTCATTCTTTAATTTTGTTTAAGACCTTACATATTGGTAATACTGTCTTTTTTATTAGCTCACCTGTCACAAAGTGACAGGGTGAGCTTTTGTGATCGCTTTTCGTCCGGCGTCCGTCCGTCCGTCGTCCGTCCGTCCGTCCGTCCGTAAACTTTTACTTTAAATGACATCTCCTCATAAACCACTAAGCCAATTTCATCCAAACTTCACAGGAATGTTCCTTTGGTGGTCACCTTTAAAAATTGTTCAAAGAATTTAATTCCATGCAAAACTCTGGTTGCCATGGCAACCGAAAGAAAAAACTTTAAATATCTTCTTTTAAAAAACCATAAGAGCTAGAGCTTAGATATTTGGCATGAAACATCTTCTAGTGAGTGTCTACCAAGTTTGTTCAAATAAAAGCCCTGGGGTCAAAATTGGCCCCGCCCCGGGGGGTCATTGATTTTCCCTATATGCATATAGTAAAAACTTAAAAAAATCTTCTTTTAAAGAACCCAAAGAGCTAGAGCTAAGATATTTAGCATGAAACATGTTCTAATGGGTGTCTACCAAGTTTGTTCAAATAAAAGCCCTGGGGTGAAAATTGGCCCCGCCCCGGGGGTCATTGATTTTCCCTATATGCATATAGTAAAAACTTAAAAAATCTTCTTTTAAAGAACTCAAAGAGCTAGAGCTTAGATATTTGGCATGAAACATCTTCTAGTGAGTGTCTACCAAGTTTGTTCAAATAAAAGCCCTGGGTCAAAATTGGCCCCGCCCCGGGGGGTCATTGATTTTCCCTATATGCATAAAGTAAAAACTTAAAAAATCTTCTTTTAAAGAACCCAAAGAGCTAGAGCTAAGATATTTAGCATGAAACATGTTCTAATGGGTGTCTACCAAGTTTGTTCAAATAAAAGCCCTGGGGTCAAAATTGGCCCCGCCCCGGGGGGTCATTGATTTTCCCTATATGCATATAGTAAAAACTTAAAAAATCTTCTTTTAAAGAACTCAAAGAGCTAGAGCTTAGATATTTGGCATGAAACATCTTCTAGTGAGTGTCTACCAAGTTTGTTCAAATAAAAGCCCTGGGGTCAAAATTGGCCCCGCCCCGGGGGGTCATTGATTTTCCCTATATGCATAAAGTAAAAACTTAAAAAATCTTCTTTTAAAGAACCCAAAGAGCTAGAGCTAAGATATTTAGCATGAAACATGTTCTAATGGGTGTCTACCAAGTTTGTTCAAATAAAAGCCCTAGGGTGAAAATTGGCCCGCCCCGGGGGTCATTGATTTTCCCTATATGCATATAGTAAAAACTTAAAAATCTTCTTTTAAAGAACTCAAAGAGCTAGAGCTTAGATATTTGGCATGAAACATCTTCTAGTGAGTGTCTACCAAGTTTGTTCAAATAAAAGCCCTGGGGTCAAAATTGGCCCCGCCCCGGGGGGTCATTGATTTTCCCTATATGCATATAGTAAAAACTTAAAAAATCTTCTTTTAAAGAACTCAAAGAGCTAGAGCTAAGATATTTAGCATGAAACATGTTCTAATGGGTGTCTACCAAGTTTGTTCAAATAAAAGCCCTGGGGTGAAAATTGGCCCCGCCCCGGGGGGTCATTGATTTTCCCTATATGCATATAGTAAAAAACTTAAAAAATCTTCTTTTTAATGAACTCAAAGAGCTATGGCTAAGATATTTAGCATGAAACATGTTCTAATAGGTGTCTACCAAGTTTGTTCAAATACAAGCCCAGGGGTCAAAATTGGCCCCGCCCGGGGGTCATTGATTTTCTTTATATGTGTTTAGCAAAAACTTTAAATCTTCTTTGAAAAAACCCAAATAGCTAGAGTTTAGATATTAAGCATGAAACATTTTCTAGTAAGTGTCTACAAAGTTTGTTCAAATAAAAGCCCTGGGGTCAAAACTGGCCCGGCCCCAGGGGTGTCATTGTTTTTAACTATATGTGTATAGTAAAAACTTTAAAAAAATCTTCTTTTAAAAAGCCCAATGAGCTAGAGCTTAAATGTTTAGCATGAAACATCTTCTTATGGGTGTCTACCAAGTTTGTGCAAATAAAAGCCCTTGGGTTAAATTGGCTCTGCAACGTTGGGGGGGGGGGGGGTGGTGGGGGTTGGGGGGCCTATATACAGGTGAGCGACCTCAGGGCCATCATGGCCCTCTTGTTTAACAAAACATACTTATTTTGCCAAATTTAGAAGAATATAGGTTGCCTTATCACGGGGGACACTGATCCTAGATTATTATGAGTAACATTTAGTTATACTGCCTTGTCATGGGGAACAGTCATTCTAGATTATCACAAGAAACATAGTTATCCAGCATTATCATGGGAAGATGGTAATCCAGTCTTACGCAAACATAGTCATCTTGCCTGATATCATGGAAAACAATGTTATCCTGTCCTATCATGGGAACATACATGTAGTTATTGGCGTCCGCGCCGAAGTGCGGCGCCCTTATGGAATGAAATCAGATTTTGTGAAAGGGCGACAGCAACTTCTCGAGCCTTTTAGTCGGTCATAATAAAAGCCGATCATCCCGATCGGTATGAGGGTGCTTGATTATTAATTAAGAATGAAATGTCGCGATATGTTACAATGAATAGGGAACTGGAGAATTTCCCAATGCAAACATTTTCAAATGAAATAACCTTTTCCGTCAATAAATCGCGCTCTTCGGGGTTTTTTATTTATCATTTTGTAGTACACAGTGGGTTATCATGGTATGTTATTGTTGTACATGTATCCTAGAAAGATCAGTTGATGACCTAAATATTCCAAAAATCTATAGATATATCTATTTATCACTCCTATCGGTAATTACCGGTCTCTCCCGGTCTATTTTGACCGGGATTTACTAGTGACCGGCGAATAGTACCACACGTTTATTGTCCGGTCTCTCCCGGTTTTGGAGTAGATGTTTGATATCGTTACAATAACAAACAACAATAGCATGTTTCATTTTATCTATATGAGATAAAAACAATAAATATGTACACGGATTTATATGTAATATAAATCCGTGATATGTACAATAATTGAGAAAAAGGTACATTTTTATGGTATTAAGATGACATTATCAACTTTGAAACATTTTATTTAATTTGTTATCCGTGTTTAGTAAAGATGCCGAGGAATTATTCAAAGTTACAAATTAGATTTTATGAATTATTCAATTGATTGATAATTTAAAAAATGACAAAGAAAAATACAAATGTACATGTACATGGTTTAATATTATCAATATTATATATTAAAAGATAAACCATAATTTACTGACTTTTTCCAGTTAAGCTTTGACTTATAATCGTCGGTCAATATGACAATTGAATTCTTAAAAATTTATTTTACAATTTTAATAAAAACTGAGTAGTAAAAACTCAGTATTAAAATAGCAGATAAAACACAAAAAAGAAAAGAAAACAATATTCATAAAATTTGTATTTTTTTTTTATTGAAATTAATAGATATTACAATTATTGTATAATAAACAATTATGCTCAACATGATCAACATGGTAATATAACCAGTGTCATATTTTTACTAACTTAAAGTGTGAACAGATACCTTAAGAGGGGGTCTTCGCTAATAGCGATAACATAATAAGGGACAATTACAAAGGTGTGGTACGTGTTGATCATACGTTACACATATGGATTATAAATGATTGCATACATGTATATCCGTTGCTATTAATAACCACGATCATAAAGAAATAACAAGTAATATTCTAATCTCTAGCATGCCAATCAAAGTTCATAATGAACAATGTCTTTCGTCCGCTCATTCATAAGTGATATACATTTCTGGTAGTTTATAAGAATATCTTATCATCATATGTGTACTAGTTCATCTTCACTTTCTGCATTTCTTGCTTGGACGCCCTTTGATGCTTTGCATCAATGCTGTTCTTGTCTTGTCTTGTCATGGAGAACATAGTGGTCCTGCCTTATCATGAAACGATATAGTAGTCTTGGCTTTCCATGAGTAACATAGTCATCCTGCCTTATCATTAAGCATAGTTATCCTGTCCTATCGTGGGATCATAGTTATCCTGTTCTTTCATGGGATCATAGCTATCCTGTCCTATCATGGGAACATAGTATAATCATGACCTATCTTGGGAACATAGTTATCCTGTCTTGTCATGGAGAACATAGTCATGAATAACATAATTATCAAATCTTATCATGGGGAACACAGTTATTTTGCTATAGCATGAGGAGCATGGTTATTCTGCTTTAACATGAGAAACATATTATCCTTCCTTATCATAAAGAGCATAGTTATCCAGTCTTTCTTAGGGATATATCATAAGTTATCCTGCCTTGTCATGGGTATAGTGACCCAACCTTATCCTTGGAAACATGGTTTTATGCTTCATTATGAGGAACACAGTTATCATGCCCTATCATGTTGAACATAGTCAGTGAGTGTCATCATGGGGGAAATAGTTATCATGCCTTATCACAGGGAAGTTATTAACATGCCTAATGTGGCAAATTTTCAGCTAATTCCCTCAACCTGGTTTTTAGATATAATCATTATATTGCTTAAATGACCCAGAAATAAAAACAAAACAAAAAATGTTACAATGCTTTTCACACAAATATTTATTTTCCTTTGCAGAATTTTCAATTTTATGTGCATCACTTGATCTTTCAGTTTGAAAAGATTTCAAAATTTATGTTTTTTAGACTTTTTGACCTCAGAGGATTTCCTATAAAACTGGTCATTATCATGTTACTGTAAATTTGTTTGTTTTGCAGACAGTATGTTGGAATATATGATGAGAAGTCTGGAAAGATGAGAATATGTGATGCTGAAATGTTTCATATGATGCCACATGTCCCAGGTATATCTACTTTTGATAAATTTAATATGCATAATGTCTTTTCATAAACCTGTGATGCCACATGTCTCATGTATATTTAACCCAGATAAAGTTATGATTTCACATGTCCTAGGTATGTCTACCCTTCATAAACTTTTGATTCCACATGTCTCAGGTTTGTCTACCCTTGATAAACTTAAAATGCCACATGTCCCAGGTATGTTACCCTTGATAATTTTATAATGGCAGAAGTCCCATGTATGTCTACCCTTGATAATCTTATGATGCCACATGTCTCAGGTATGTTTACCCTTGATAAACTTATGATGCCACATGTCCCATGTATGTCTACCCTTGATAAACTTATGATGCCACATGTCCCAGGTATGATTACCCTTGATTAACTTATGATATCACACGTCCCAGTTGTATGTCTACCCTTGATAAACTTATGATGCCACATGTCTCAGGTATGATTACCCTTGATTAACTTATGATATCACACGTCCCAGTTGTATGTCTACCCTTGATAAACTTATGATGCCACATGTCCCATGTATGTCTACCCTTGATAAACTTATGATGCCACATGTCTAAGGTATGTTACCCTTGATAAACTTATGATGCCCCATGTCTCAGGTATGTTTACCCTTGATTAAGTAATAGAAAGAGCATCGAAACACGAGGCTATCTGAATTGTACGAGGGGGCGTAGCCCCTGAGTATAAAACAGATTGCTGAGTGTTTTGATGTTCATTCTCTTTTGTATCATAGTCAAACATAAAAACACGTTCCCTGATACCACAAAATAAAACCCCACAAAAAAGTAACCAATGAACGAGTATCTGAATATGATATTTCCATCGCTATCCCATGCTCTGTCGTCACAATATCTAAACCCCGGATAAAATGAACCAATCAATGGGCATGCTCTGGAGTGCAGGTAACTAATACCTGCACTCCAGTTAACGCACTGTGCATGTATATATATACGATTTAACTCTGACACATTTTCAACAGAAAGGTCCCCACACTATGATACAACTTATGATATCACATGTCCCAGTTGTATGTCTACCCTTGATAAACTTATGATGCCCCATGTCTCAGGTATGTTTACCCTTGATAAACTTATGATGCCACATGTCTAAGGTATGTTACCCTTGATAAACTTATGATGCCACATGTGCCAGGTATGTTTACCCTTGATAAACTTATGATGCCACATGTCCCAGTCCTAGAATTCATTTTTTTATATTTTCAAATGCTTAAAGTAGTTAAGAGGTGAAGGTAAAAGCTGTTAAAATATTTAGTGGAAGAAGATAATCATCAGATGGCTTTCTCACATTACATTTTCAGTAGAGATATTGAAATGATCACTATTAATTACATGCTTTCGGTGGTTTATAGAAATATATCAGTGATATAAAACTGGTAATTTCACTGTTTTGAATTTAAGCCCCTTACGTTGTTTCAGTAAAATACCAGCGTGCACAGTACTGGGTACCAACTGTCACGTTGTATTATTATTTGGTGCGCTTTTCATTCAGTATTAGGTTAAATGCTTTTTAAAACGTTTCTTTGCATGTAATAAAAAAAAAATTTGTTTAGTTTAGTGTAAGATTGAAATATATTTCACCTTGAGAACACCAAAAGTTCACATTTCACTCGTGGCTGCGCCACCAGTGAAATATTCCTTTTGATGCTCACTCGGTGAAATATATTCCGATCTTACACTGAACTAAACAAATATCCTCTATATACATAAACTCTGTATTTTCTACTACTACACATCTTAATTATTGACATATTTGAAATTTATAATTGGTCATGTCACTCATGTGTAGCTAGATGTAAATAATCCTTGACCTAGTTCAACAAAAACACAAAATAAAAGATTAAGTTCACCATTAAAACTTAATGCAGTCATAGTAAAAATGTAAAGTGTGTTGATAATACAACCTTTCAGGCTACCTGTTTTTCTTTTCTATTCAATTTCACTGTCATTGTTAAGGTCATATTAGCTCTATTATTTGACACCTTAGTGCAATTACTGATTAACTGAAGGACCTTTTCTGTCACTGCATTAAGGTGACAAATTATTAGCCAAATAGTGAATTCGGAAGGGAATGAATAGGAATGTAGTCATATGTTCCTTTATTCATTTTGTCAGGCATAAATTGGGACATCACCAATTTACCTGGATTTACTATTTGAAAAATACCTTATTAAAACAAATATAAATTTCTGTAGTGACTGGAACTGACAAAAGTAGAAGGCAAGATGATTTTGTTTATTTCATATTTTTTTATGTGTAGTGATTTTAAATCATATAACATTTATATTGTGTTCTTGCAGGAAGAGATGATGATGATACTCCACTGCCTCAACATAATTATGTTCAGAAGGTACATGTAGTTAATATGAGTCATTAGCTCGACTATACGAAGTATATGGAGAGCTGCCCTACTCGCCCCGGCGTCGGCGTCCGCGTCCAGATTTCAGATTAAAGTTTTGGTGCAGTAAAATATTTTTCACTATAACTTTGTCATTTCTTAAGGTATCAACTTCAAACTTCAAATATATGTTCCTTATCATCAACCACATCTTATGTGACAAGGTTCATAACTCTAGCACCAATATTTTCAGATTTATCTCCCCTTGAACTTAGAATTTTCCTTAAAAAATACTATTTTTTACTGTTACTTCTTTATTTCTTAAGGGATCAACCTCATACTTCAAATATATGTACCTTATCATCATCCCCATCTTATGTGACAAGGTTCATAACTCTAGCACCAATATTTTCAGATTTATCTCCCCTTGAACTTAGAATTTTCCTTAAAAAATACTATTTTTTACTGTTACTTCTTTATTTCTTAAGGGATCAACCTCATACTTCAAATATATGTACCTTATCATCATCCCCATCTTATGTGACAAGGTTCATAACTCTAGCACCAATATTTTCAGATTTATCTCCCCTTGAACTTAGAATTTTCTTTAAAAAATATTATTTTTTACTGTAACTTATTTATTTCTAAAGGGATCAACTTCATACTTCAAATAAATGTACCTTATCATCATCCACATCTTATGTGACAAGGTTCATAACTCTAGCACCAATATTGCAAGAATTATCTCCTCATCAACTAAGATTTTTTTACTAGAAAAATGTTATTTTTTATTATAACTTTTTTAGTTTTAAAGGTATCTACCTCAAACTTCAAATACTTACTCCTTATAATCAATTATATTTTATGTGACAATGTTCATAACTCTTGAGGTAATTTTTACAGATTTATTTCTCTTTGAACTTAGGATTTTCTTTAAGAAATATTATAACTTTGTTACTTTTTAAGGTATCTACTTCAAACTTCAAATATATACTTCTTATCATTACATACATGTTGTGTGACAAGGTTCATAACTCTAGCGTGACTATTTCTAGAATTATTTCCCTTGATCTTGGAATTTATTTTAACAAATGTTATTTTTTTACTATAACTTAATACATAATTATACATAATTGATTTTTCTTTCATAGTTTTGTCCTCCTTACTGCGTCCAGTATTTTATTAGTCAAGCTTGGCTGTCTCCTGTGACAGCTCTTGTTTTTTAACATAGTTAACGCGCTTTTGACAGGTCTATGACGTTTTTAGCTCACCTGTCACAAAGTGACACATGTGAGCTTTTGTGATCGCTTTTCGTCCTGTGTCCACCCGTCCGTACGTCCGTAAACTTTTACTTTAAACGACATCTCCTCATAAACCACTTAGCCAATTTAATCCAAACTTCACAGGAATGTTCCTTTGGTAGTCAACTTTAAAAATTGTTCAAAGCATTAAATTCCAAGCAGAACTCTGGTTGCCATGGCAACCGAAAGAAAAAACTTAAATTATCTTCTTTTAGAAAACCGCAAGAGCTAGAGCTAAACTATATATGCCATGAAACATCACCTAGTCAATGTCTACCAAGTTTGTTCAAATAAATTCCGTGGGGTCAAAATTGGCCCTGCCCTGGGGGGTCATTGATTTTCCTTATTTGTGTATAGTAAAAACTTAAAATATTTTCTTTTAGAAAACCGCAAGAGCTAGAGCTTAAATATTTGGCAAGAAACATCACCTAGTCAGTGTCTACCAAATTTGTTCAAATAAATGCCCTGGGGTCAAAATTGGCCCCACCCCATTCGAGGGGTCATTGATTTTCCTTATTTGTATATAGTAAAAAAACTTAAAAATCTTCTTTTAAAAACCCCAAATAGCTAGAGCTTAAATATTAAGCATGAAACATCTTCTAGTGGGTGTCTACCAAGTGTGTTCAAAAAAATGACCTGGGGTTAAAATTGGCCCAGTCCCGGGGGATCATTGATTTTCCTTATTTGTATATAGTAAAAACTTAAAATATTTTCTTTTAGAAAACCGCAATAGCTAAATTATAAATATTTGGCATGAAACATCAACTAGTCGGTGTCTACCAATTTTGTTCAAATAAATGCCCTGGGGTTAAAATTGGCCCGGTCCCGGGGGATCATTGATTTTCCTTATTTGTATATAGTAAAAACTTAAAATATTTTCTTTTAGAAAACCGCAAGAGCTAAATTATAAATATTTGGCATGAAACATCAACTAGTCAGTGTCTACCAATTTTGTTCAAATAAATGCCCTGGGGTCAAAATTGGCCTCGCCCTGGGGGTCATTGATTTTCCTTATTTGTATATAGTAAAAACTTAAAAAAAATTGTTTTAAAAACCCCGAATAGCTAGAGCTTAAATATTAAGCATGAAACATCTTTCAGTGGGTGTCTACCAAGTTTGTTAAATTAAATGCCCTAGGGTTAAAATTGACCTGGCCCTTGGGGGTCATTGATTTTCCTTATTTGCATATAGTAAAAGCTTTAAAAATATTTAAAAAACCAAAAAAGCTAGAGTTTAGATACTTAGCATGAAATATTTACTAGTCAGTGTCTACCAAATTTGTTTAAATAAAAGCCCTGTGGTCAAAATTGGCCCCTCAGGAAGGGGTCATTGTTTTTTCCTATATGTATATAGTAAAAACTTACAAAGTCTCCTTTTTAAAACCCCAAAGAGTTAGAGCTTAGATATTTATCATGAAACATCTTCTAATAGCTGTCTACCAAGTTTGTTCAAATAAAAGTCCCTGGTTTAAAATTGGCATTGGCCCAGCCCGTCCCTAGATTTGCCACTACTTGCCAGCTATTTCCACTGAAAAGGGTGGCATTAAGTGTAAAAAAGGTGGCATTAACTGGAAAATGACAAAATTCCACTCTTTTTCCACTGTAGTGGCAAAATTGCCACCAAATGCCACTATCCTTTGGTGGCATTTAGGTGGCATTGAGTGGAAATTTGAACATAGACTTTTTTTATGGTGGCAAAAGGGTGGAAATTGGTGAAAAATGAAACTTAGTTTATTTTGAAGGTGGAAAATGAGTGGCTTTTAGTGGAAAAGTGAAACTCTAACTATTTTCTGGGTGGCAAAATAGTGGAAAAAAACTTAGAAAATTTTGTGAATAACTTTTAGTCGAAAAGGGAAACTCTTAACTATTTTCTGGGTTGTATAAAAATTGGTGGAAAAAACTGAGAAATCTAATAATTGTGCATTGCAGGGTTTAAGATTTATTTAAGTCAAAGCTCCAAACTGAAATAAATCTGTTTATAGTTTGTACTCTACCAAAGCATCAAGTGAACTTTTTATCAAAAATATAATTTATTGAAGTTGAACAGTTAGAAAATTTTATCAGAAACTCATATTTCTTAAACATACTAAAATGCCATGAACACAATTCTGATACAAAGTCACTGCCTCACAGTAACGGTATGATAATTCTAGCTGTAAAGTAGCAGGAAAAGACACAGAAATTGGACGTAAAATCACTTTTCCAGGCGTTAAACACATATAATTATGATCAGGAAAAATTAGAAAAGTATGGGGTTACTTAACTTCCCATTTCTTATGGCAGTACTTTTCTTTAGGGATGTAAAATTTGACTTTCAAGTCAAAATGTTTATGTTCCATTCTATGCTTGTAAAATAAAATTACGGCTTTTAAAGTGTACTTTGTTCTTTAGTTATAATCTGTACATTAAATAGTTGAAATGTTCTTCTATGCCCAGAAAATGCATATCTTTGCATAAAGTTTGTTGCTTCTTCTATGATATTTAATGTCAATCTTGAATAAAGTTTGACTTTTGTCTTTTCTTCTAATTGACATAATAAATTGTCTCTTCATAATTACTTTAAACTGATATCTGGTGAGTACTAACACTTTTCATGTAATGCTAACAATAATTAAAGTGAAAAATGCAAAGGGCAATAACTCCAAAAGTATGCAAAGAGTTATGGTTCTTAAACACAGCACATTACTCAAAAAGATCTATATCTGTGAAGTTTTTAATTAATATCTCCAGTACTTTTTAAGCTTAATGATCAAGACAAAAATTAAGCATAGAGAAGTAAAAAATGGCAAAAAAACCCAAATCATGCAATAAAAAGTTATGGTTCCTTGGCATTGTAACTTCTCATAAATGAGATTTAGTTATATGTGGAGTTTAAAATTATTGTCTCTAACATCTTTTGTGCTATGCTTTCAGAGGCTTTAAATCTATTGTAAAAATTAATGTGTGAAAAGTAAATAAGTCATAATGTCTGATAAATTTCTTACAATCAGGATAAGTAACTACTAGCTAGTAAATACTGCATCCTCTAAGATTTAACAACACAGCATACATCTCAGATCTGATAAAACTACTGCCCTCTTATCTAGTAATCTATGAATGGGGGTTAATAGTTTACTCATGCTGACCAGAATGTTCCATTTGATTATTTTGGGAGAGGCAACATTATACATGTTTTTATGTAGAATTTGTCTTAAAGTAGCATGCTAAATTATCTTTCAAAAGCTTATTTCTACTCAATCTATTTAGGTATTAGATATAGTTATACATTCAAATGAATGTAAAAAATAAAATGATGGGTGCTATGGTTTTTGGAAAATCCCTCACAATTTAAAATTATAATGGACTGTCCATGCAGTTACTGTTACCGTTGTAAAGTTTGAATTCAAAGGAATTGAGGTCAGCTAAAGCTTGCAAACACAAAGGAAATTATTGATATTGTAGCAATTCTGGAGCTATTTTGTTTAAAATGTAAGGGTGCATATTTTTGATTTCTCAAAGAAAACATTTAAAGTCTTATTAGTGTGGTAAATAGAAATGAGAAGTTTTAACTGAAGTGTGAATGTGTAGACAAGAAGATAAACAGCAGAATGATTCCCAGTCAAAGTTTCAGGTATACAACTTTTACATACAATAATTATTGTTATTTATGCAGAAACTGTTTAGTTTTTTGACAGTAAAAATATGAAGTGGTATTGTATAAAATTGTGTTTTATATTTGTTTTGTTTGTAACTTGACTAAAAAGAATTAGCTGCATGTACAATGTACATATAAAGAATGTAGGAATATAAAGAATGTAGGAAGATCTTCATCATTTCTTAAATACAATATGTTAGAAATTTTAAGTTTGAGAAAAAAATTATAGAAATTAATCAGTAAGTACAATATCATTATGTACAATATTACATCAATCAAACTATAGATAACCTGAGGTACCTATTACTACAACTTTCATGCTATAAACAATTTTCCTTGTATGTCACATGTGGAGCAGATTAACAGTAACTGATTTATTAGTAAGTTTCATTCCTTCATTGTTGTAATTCAGCTTTCATGGTGCAGTAGATAATTATATAACCATAACTAGACAGTCTAGAGTAACATGCTATTAGGAGAATGACAGTTCATAACAGAAACAGCATTAAATAAGAATTATTATTTGCAGACACAAAGCAATGAGGAGCAGCCTGGAGCAACACATTTGATCTTCAGTGGCTTTACAAAGGTATCTTGTTAATTCAAAGTTATTTTAGAATTAATAGGAAAGAAGTGTCACAGTACCCAATAAGACACTTTTCAGTTCTTGATAAATACTGTATGTGTATTTAAATTCGCGGAAGCAAATTTTCGCGGAAAGGTCTGTTTTGGGGGTATATACAAATATTCGCGCTATTTTGAATTAGCGGAGGTGACTGTCGAAAATCATAAATTCGCGTACACCCATCAGGTTAAAAAAAATAAGAAAAATTACTCTTACACAATTGGTCAATGGTTTTCGCAAGCAGTCTTCTTTCATTTTACCTTTTACTGTAATCGTTGTGGGACTTCACAGTTATTTTTAACACCTGGTGTCAAACAATACGCTATTGTACAGAACAAAGACATTCAATTCAATTTGTCTAGCGGACAGATTATTGCAAACAAAAGAATGTCCGTTAACGTGCGTGATTTTTCACAGTTTAAAACAGCACTGAATGAGACCATAATATTTTCACCGATTTTGTTAAAACGTTGACTGAGTAATTGTGTTTTGTTTTCCATGTTTTCATCAGTTAAAATCGTTTATGTTTGTGTTGTTTGTATTGTTTGTTTAGAAAAACAAAATATAATCTGATCAGATGTCAAGACGTTTATGACTCAGACTATGAAATAAATAGCGTGATTCAATGGTATAGTTCAAACATGTATATACTTATACAAAGAATCCTATAATCATATCAGTCAAACAATAATACACTTGCAAACTGATGTATATACAGAGCTGAATGTTACATGTACAGTTTATACAACAGTAAAATCACTCTATGGAGCGCCACGGATACCAGACTTATGGCAGCCGTGAACACACTGATATACATTGTTCTATAAATGCGCGAAAATATGTCTATTAAGAAATGATTGCTGTAGAAATATTCGCGCCGAACATGAATTCGCGGATCGACTGTCACCGCGAAGATCGCGAAAATTTGAAGCCCGCGAATATTTCTACACATACAGTATAGCTATTAGTCACTATTTACAAACCTACTTTAATTCAAACTCTTTATGACACTTTAATTTGCATTTACATTTTGTTTTACAAATTTTAGAGTTTTTGTACATTTTAGCTTGAAAATTTTATCAAATATTTATCCTGATGAAGGTGCGTTAAGAACTGAAACTGGAAGATTATTAATTACTCAACCTGCACTGGTGTTGATGTGTTGTATTTCTTTATTTCTTTCTTATTTTAAAATTTTAGAGTTGTATACATATACCAAGGTCTTATAAAAGTGTTTCATTCTGTCTTTAAATATAAGATATTGATAATCATTTTCTGTCTTTACTTTATGGATATTGATAATTATATTTTAGGACCAAGTGATGGCAGAACTGAAGCCATATGCCTCAAAAGAGAAAGGTACAGCAAAGCTCTTCAGAATGCTATTCAATATAGAAGAGATTAAAGGCTGCTCATTGTTTGGTATGAGGAAAGGGAACAGAGAGTCTGACGCCAGACCTTCTTGTGCAGACAAGGCAAAACTTAAGTTCTTGGAAGGTAACTAATGAACTGAATGAAAATATCATTTTTGATTCTGCGTATATTTTCTGCCTTGGAGTAAATAAGAAAAGTCTGATTCTTCCACGTCTGCAGTGCTGTTTTTTAAAGTGTTTTAATCATATCTATGCACTCAAATTGAATATAGAAATATCCAATAGTCATATGAAAATGTAAGCTTATGTTTTTAATTATTGTATTAATCATTCATAATTTTTTTTGTTTTAGATTGTGCGCTCGAAAAGTTGCTGACAACCTAAAGGACTGAACTCAAACCATCCAGGAATAGCAAGATAAACTGAAGAAAATAAATGGACTAATGTTTTGCTATTTTTTGAGACAATTTATAATTTCATATGGAAACATTAAAAAGGATTATTTTTAAAATTTGTTTGTTTCCAATTTAGGGTACAGGGTGACTTTCAAGCAGTTTCCAGCTATTGCCACCCACAAGGTGGAAAATTTCTGAAAGGGTGAAAATAGGTGGCATTTAGTGGAAACTGAATTTGCCACTATCTGGTGGCAAAATGGTGGAAAAGTGTCTAAATACTCCACCAATTTTCCACCCTTATGGTGGCAAAAGGTGGAAATAAGTGGCATTTGGTGGAAAATAAGTTTGCCACTCAATGGTGGCATAATGGTGGAAATTTGTCTAAATACTCCACCAATTTTCCACCATTATGGTGGCAATAAGTGGAAACAAGTGGCATCTAGTGGAAAATGAGTTTGCCACCCTAAGGTGGCATAATGGTGGCATTATGGTGAAAGTTTGTCTAAATACTCCACCAATTTTCCACTCATTGGTGGCATTTAGTGTAAAAAAGGTGGAATTAACTGGAAAATTATATAACATCAGTCCTGCTCAAATTTTTCACCATTTTCATGATTTGGGTGGCGTTTTAGTGGCGTTTTGGTGGCATTATTGGTGGAAAATTGTCTAAATACTCCACCATTGAAAAGGGTGGCATTTTAGTGGCAAATCTAGGGACGGGAGGGGCTTATATACAGGTGAGCGATTTCAGGGCCATCATGGCCCTCTTGTTTTGTTAGTGTGAAGGATTCAAATATACAAAATTAGAATACTGAACCTGAATGTGCCAGTCAACAGTTCGAGGGTTGACCGCAAAACTTTAGTAACTTAATGAAATAAAAAAGGACATACAACAGTTTTGTGATCAACTCTCGCATTAAGAGCGTTGGTAGACAGCATGGATGTACAGACTACTAGTGATACAGTATTTAATAATGCTCATTATTTTATCCTATGTTATGTTGTCAACTATGTATATGCTTCCTTTGCCGAAATAAATCTAGTAGCGTAGTTACGTCATTAATTCTGCTTTAATTTAAAAGATGATCAGATTTTATATTTTGAACCTTGTTGTTATAATTAGAATACACAATTACCATTTTGAGCATAAGGTAGTTTTACTGTAATACTTTACCACTAAAAAATGTAATGTAGGCCAATATCATAGCAAATTGGTTATTTCCGGAACATTCTTTTTTGCAAAATCTTGGGCATTAGATTATTTACAATCACTCATCCTTTATCACTACTAAATTCTGGTTATAAATGATTAAAATTTATTAAGTACTGAAGATTGTGAAAAATAACGTTCCGGAAATGACTGAAGATATTGGCTGATGTTAGAATTTTTTTGGCGGGAAAGAATCACAGTAAGACTACAATAGTAACAGAAATATTTAAGCTTCGCAGTAATAAGTGGTTAACATTGTTGACTTGAAATCAGTCGTCACTCACTGCTGTGGGTACTACATGTAATGAAACCACCAAGTCTGCTAATGGCAGGTCATAGGGGAATGATTGTAGGAACTGAACCGTTGGTGCCGAAAAAATAAAAAAAGCATCAAGGGATGTTGTTTGCTCTTCCTCCAAAAATCACTATATGACCTAAATAGACCTGACTTAACCCGTATCCCACTGACTAGAAATAATTAAATGGATGTAGATTGACTTAAATTGCAGTAAAGTTTGCAAAGTAAAAATGATTGTGAACTTAACAATATCTGATAACATGAATATTATGAATGTTGTTTTTATTTCTAGCTGGGAATGTTAACTGAAGCATTTGGAAGTAAATGGAAGAAATCAGCATTGGAGAAACAACAAAGAAACATGATAGATGAGGGGACAATGAAGGACCATCTAGCTGCTGATATACACCATGGAAAACAACAGGTGAAACTTCATCAGCTGCAGAAAGAAGGTTAGTGCTTTATATTTGTGGTGAGGTTCACCATGGGTGAATGGTTGGGGTTGGTGGTTTGTTTTCTATCACCAGTAGCACAGCTGTGGGATTTTGTTCTGATGAACTTAAATAATATGGAACTTTATTATTTGCTTTTGCATCTATGTACAAGATTGAATGACGAACATAAGGCCAATTATCACATTATATTAATTAGATAAATGTAATTTATTTTTTCTAAAGTGAGCGTAATGTTTTGATTTTGTTAAAATGGATTGTGAACAATTAAACGTTTTCAGTGTTCAGATGGGATTTAAAGTTTCTTGACTGTTAAAATTTTAGAATTTAATCTGCATAAACTTTTTTAAGGGTCCCAGTGGCTTTAAGATAACAAGATCAACTGTATATCTAAATATATTCTTCCCATATTTCTCTCTTTGTATTGCTGAATTTGTCAGGAATGTATTTCATAATAAAATATCAATAATCTTTTATGTATCCTGTTCATAAGGAAATGCAATCTTCCTTGAAGGAAGTTTTAAAAAAAAACAACGAAAATACTTTTATGACATTAATAGTGTAAGAATTTGAACCAAAAGAAGTTGCATATAACCCACCAGAATAGCTTATTTATGATGTAATTTTCTCTATGTATATTACAGAAACAAAAAACACACAATCAGTGTTAGATGTGATACCTCCATGCAATAAAAATGCTGAAAATGTTGAAGATGTCTATAGTCTCTCAGACAGTAAGTAATGTCACACTTAGCAGTATCTTAGTAATAATGTTACATTTCTCATAGTAATAAAATGAATTTGCCGTATGTAAAGTCACTGTCACAATATAAATGTCACAGTAGATAAATATACATTCCATGTAAGTAATCTAAAATTTGCAGTAAGTAATATCACAGTAACAGCAGGAATGTCACAGTAACAGCATTAATGTCACAGTAACAGCATTAATGTCACAGTTACAGCAGTAATGTCACAGTAACAGCATTAATGTCACAGTTACAGCAGTAATGTCACAGTTACAGCAGTAATGTCACAGTAACAGCATTAATGTCACAGTTACAGCAGTAATGTCACAGTAACAGCATTACTGTCACAGTTACAGCAGTAATGTCACAGTAACAGCAGTAATATCACAGTAACAGCAGGAATGTCACAGTAACAGCATTAATGTCACAGTAACAGCATTAATGTCACAGTTACAGCAGTAATGTCACAGTAACAGCAGTAATATCACAGTAACAGCAGGAATGTCACAGTAACAGCATTAATGTCACAGTAACAGCATTAATGTCACAGTAACAGCAGTAATGTCACAGTTACAGCAGTACTGTCACAGTAAATATGTATGGCACATTCCATGTAAGTAATTTAACATTTGCAGTTAACAGCAGTAATGTCACATTTAATATGTATGTCACATTCTGTGTAAGAATTGTAACATTTGCAGGAAGTAATGTCACAGTAACAGCAGTAATGTCACAATTAAATATGTCACATTCTGTGCAAGAATAGTAACATTTGCAGTAAGTGAAAATTCGTACAAAGAGTCATTTATGATTTTATGGCAAATGACATGCTATTCAAGTTTCAGTTAAGGGAAGTAATTCATTATAGATAAAATCACAATCATTGTAAGTAATTTCATATTTATGATTAGTAATGTGACTAAAGTAATGTCACAGTCATTGTAAAATATTGTGACATTTACTATAGGCTATATCACAATCAGTGTAAAGCCACATTCCCAGAATACAAAGCAAGATTAGGACTAGTAATATTATGAATATTACTTGCCTGTTTATGAAAGAAGAGTTTTATTTTCAAGCAAGATATTCTTATAATACACAGTAGACTGCTGATAATGATATTTAGGTGACTGCCATAGTCATATTGGTATATCCGGTTATTGATATACCGGAAAGGCAATTAATTTGAAAACAAGAATTGGGACCACAGCAACAGCTCATTATAAGGGGTATAAGGCTGTAAGCGATATCTTTTTTAATTGGAGTTTATTTCATATTATTTTACCTTCCCACAACAAAGTTGTAAGGGGGTATACTGGAATCAGCTTGCCTGTCCAATAACTTAAGATTCCTTTGACCCACAGTCTTCGTATTTTGTATTGAGATTGGTCATAATTAGTGACCCCTATTGATTTTGAGGTCACCAGGTCAAAGGTTAAGGTCACAGGGGCCTTGACTAAATGTCCGTCAGTCCGTTGGTTTTTCCTTGTCCGCCCAATAACTTTAAGATATTGAGATTTGTTATGATTAATAGATGACCCCTATTGACGACTTCAAAAAGTTTGTCCACCCGATAACTTAAGAATCCTTTGACCCACAGTCTTCATATTTGGCATGGGGGTTGGTCATGGCCATTAGGCGACCGCTATTGATTTTGAGGTCACTGGGTCAAGGCCAAGGTCACAAGGGCCTTGACTAGAAAAAAGCTTGTCCGCTCAATTGCTTAAGAATGTTTTGCTTAACAGTTTTCATATTTTGGTATTGAGGTTGTTTATCACTAGTAGATTACCCCTATTGATTTATAGGTGACTGTGACAAAAGGTCAAGATCACGGGCTTTTACTACAATTAGCTTGTCTGCTCAAATGCTTAAGAATGCCTGTCGGCAGTGTATTGATTTTGACATTTTAACACTTGAATCACTTAGAATACATAACTAAGCAATGTACTGGCTTAGTAACCTCAGATTTGGCAGGGAAGTTGTCCTTGAGCTCTAAATGGCCACTGTTGATTCTGACAAAGTGGTATGCAGGGTTATTCACGCCATGACAGTAGAAGTTCTAGTTACACTTTGATTAGAGATTGATCACTCTGTTAGATTAATGTGCATAGTGTTTTATTGCCGATCACTGTTAGGAATAATTTGAGTTTTGTTTTCTTGCAGTTTTATCAGAAATTGACATGGATTCTCTACAATCTCCTGCTGCAGTGTTCTTTGACAGTACACCAGCACAAATCAAAGAATGGAAAGATAACAAAACGTATGTAAAATTTCTTATTTATCAAAATATTAGATTGAAATAAAAAAATTAATAATAAGAGTCTATGTTGATCTCTTGCATTATCTGCAGAAAAAAAAACAATGTTTTAATACCTGCTGCAAGTCTAGGCAATCTCCCCACAAAATGAATTCCCAATTTTGTGCTAAATACCACTCAGATTTTCAGTTGTAATTGTAAAAGTAGTGTTAGATAACTGATATATGTGAATTTAGCTCAAATCTTTACAAACTGCTGTCATGTTTATAAGGATAGAAATAGGTAATATAAATAAATAAACAAAAAAAGGAAAAACATTTTATTTTTTAATTGTACTTTTGGACAGTTTCATGTTTATAACTATCATCAGGAACAAATAGAATTGATTTATATATAAGTTATGTTTATGTGTAAGATATTTCAGGTAGATTTTGCATACTAAGTTTTGATTTTAGTTTTATTTTAAAAAAAGTGTTCACATACATACTGTATAGTTTGACTTTTACTACTTTCAGGTATCCAGCATATGTTTTAAGTCATGTATCAAGCATGTCTTTAGATCCGCTCATTCGCTGGGAGAGGTCAAAGTGTCTTATATATTTGTATTATATGATACATTTGTACAAGTTATCACCGAAAGAACTCAGACAAAAAGGTAAACTCTCTCAGAGAGAGAATTTATATAATTTAGATAATATTCTGTAGCTAGACATTGTTACTTTGTGAATTTAAAGTAAAGCTAAATAATACCATACTTAAATACTTGCATTTTCAGACCTTTTTTCTGCTTTATCTGTTAGTCCATGTAAAAATAACCCAAAATTTTACAACTGCATGTATTTATTTCCATGTTAGGATAATAATTTAATTTTAGAACATATAGGTAATTGTCATTAATGAATTTTATTCTACAGGAAATATCAATCTGCAAGATAAATGCCATGATCAATATTTTGACATCATAATTGACCCCTCACTTTATAATAAAGATTTAATTGTCAAAAGGATAGAACATGTCATTGAAGAAGCTGACAAATTAAGTTTATGAGATCTTTAGTCATAGCAAATATATAAAGCCTTCAGGATTAGATAGGTAAAGCTGCAAGAAGCTTAAAAGAATTAATTTTTCTTTTAATCCTTAACATGCTACAAGTGAAAATGTATCCAGCCTGAAGTCGATTTTAATATTTCATCCAAACCATTCTTTTATTAAAATTTTTGGTCAATGAATATTATAGAAGTCAATCTTTTTAAATTTATAGCTAATTTAGCTCAACTTGATAACAAAAAAATTGAACATAATGTCACTATGTGATATGTATTTTAAATATTTTTGTATTTTTGCAGACCCTTTTCCAAAAGATTGTCCAGGAAATATGAAGAGTAAACTGTCTGAAAACTTCACAAAACAAGCAGTCAAGACCAGGTGATAGTTGAACTTTTTACCTAATTTTTATTTGCTTATTTTAGTTTTTTAGTCACTTTGTTTCCAGATTTTCATACTTCTCAACAACAGGTGTCAAGTGCCACACAGGCAGCTGTAAAAAGTTGCCCTAAACTTCACTTCAGTGTTGTTATATTTTTAGGTCATTCAGGATCATTGATTTCAGCATTGTTAAGTGTTGAGAATTTAGTTTAGCTCAAGCCGGTGCTAGGCATGTTATCCCTCATAAACAGAGATTACAATTTTCATGTAATTTTGTTGTGATGAATGCTTTCGAGGATCACTTTCTTTCCAGATTTTTCGAATTTTTCAAAGTGTAGTAGTGCAATGTTAAATGATGCTGTCATTGTTCAAAAATATGATTTACAGTCAAACTTTTATATAATAAACATACTGGCAAAGGATATACATGTATGTGAATCTTACTGACAATTTGTATTTCAAATCGTATGATTTTGTACACTAGAAGGTAAAATGATCAAAAAAATTATATGTGGTCTTATACACAAGTTTGACCTTACAATGTAACAGCGTAGGAACCCTTGCATGTTTCTTATTTTATATTTTTATAAGTAAAAAGTCATCATATGTTGATTGCAGTCATTTTCTCCCATAAATGTTTAGATTTTTCAATACCTAAAGTGAAAATAGGCATTGAAATTTCATCTTTTCATGTAAATTACTATAATGCTTAAAAATGTTCATGACAAATGCTCCATAATTAAGTAAGAGCTCTGGCAGCAAATGTGTCAAGTAAAATAGGAATTGTTTTAAAGTGGTACTGTACTCTTAGAGTACGCCTAAGGACTTCAGTGAATATGAGAGTATATAACTGTTATTTTAGGTAATAATATATTAAATTATTCTTTGGTACAGATGTATGCCGAGTCGTTTAAAGGATAGGTTAGCAGCTTATATCCTCACTTTATGTTTGCTGATAGATGAATTTTCTGTTGAACTTATTGATCTCATGAAGGATATGCAGCTAGAAAGAAGCAAGTAAGTTTGAGTTACCATGTTTTGTTGTAATGTTTAACACACAGCATTGTAAAGCTATGCCTGGAATAAAAGATACTACCTAAACTAAATGAGCAATGTAGAGGTATTCCTACAGTTAAAGATATAACCTACACTAAATGAGCGATGTAAAGCTATTCCTACTGTTAAAGATATTTTCTACACTAAATGAGCAATGTAGAGCTATTCCTAGAGTTAAAGATATATCCTACTCTAAATGAGCAATGAAAAACTATTCCTAGAGTTAAAGATATTACCTACACTAAATGAGCAAGGGAAAGCTATTCCTAGAGTTAAAGAAATTTCCTGAACTACATGAGCAATGAATAGCTATTCCTAGAGATAAAGATATTTCCTACACTAAATGAGCAATGAAGAGCTATTCCTAGGGTTAAAGATATTACTTTCAATAACTGAGCAATGTAAAGCTGTTCCTAGAGATAAAGATATTTCCTACACTAAATGAGCAATGTAAAGCTATTCCTAGAGATAAAGATATAACCTACACTAAATGAGCAATGTAGAGCTATTCCTGGAGTCAAATGATATTACCTTCACTAATTGAGCAATGTAAAGCTAATCCTAGAGTAGAAGATATCACCTACAACTGACTGAGCGATGTAAAGCTAATCCTAGAGTAAAAGATATTACCTTCACTAACTGAGCAAT